ACCAGTCTGTCTTGTGTTTGTCTCTTACCTGTCTGTCTTGTGTTTGTCTCTCACCTGTCTGTATCTTACCTGCCTGTTTCTCACTTGGTCATCTCTGACCTGTGTGTCTCACCTGTTTGTCTCTCACATGTCTATCTTTAGAAGAGCTGTGTATGGATCAGGACAGTGAAGCATCAGAGGAGGAGGAGCTCACCTGTCAGCTCTACAGCACTCTGAGGCAACACCTGGGCAGGTGTGTTCTGTGGTTCAGATCAGGTGTTTGTAGGAAGATGAGTGTTGCTTGTGTAATTAAGTAACTGTTGTCTGTTTGCATCGATCAGTGTGTTGCCTGAAGTGTCCTCTGGCTGGTGGCAGCGCTGGAGTTGTGTTAAAGCTGGCATCCTGCCATTCCTCCGTACCGCTGCCCTTTTCTTTCACTACCTGAACTCTTCAACACCTCCTGCTGATCTGCTGGGTAAACAACAAAAACAACAACTAGGAGTTATGTCAGGGCTCAAAGCCCTCCAGTGTATGTCGCCCCTAACTTTTGTTCCCCAATTCTCCAAAGACCTGTTCAACCTCTGGCTTGTAGAATCATAGGTCTTAATCCTGATGCCTTTTTTGTGTCCCTGAGCTTGTAATAGAAATTTAAAGTTTAGTTTACTGCACAAAATATCCTGATGCATGCTCAATAATCCAGGTAGAAAAATCTAAAAAAGTTAAGTCTGGTCCTCTGGACATTCAAAAAACAAAACAAACAAAAAAAGTAGAAATGTTTCGTCTTTCATCCGAAAGACTTCTTCAGTCTGAGGTGCTGTATTCAGCTCAGTCTTATAAATAGCACCTTCTCAGAGTGGATCAACCAGTTGGTGTTGACAGTCAAAACCAGCTGCTCACAGGGTCAAGAAGAACCATCAGCCTAACGATGGATCATTAGGACACTGATGGCTGTTTACTATTCACAGAGGGCTGAGTGATACTAGCAATCACAGCATTGTAAGAGGGGGACAGTTTAACACTTCCTCATTGCATGGTCACGGAAAGAAACCGTCCTAGAATGAGTAGGAGGTGGCCGGTTGACTGTGGTATCATGATGGGTTGGAGCCCTGAGCACAGCTCAACCTGTCTGTCTCAGACAGATAATAATAATAACAATAAAGTGCTATGTGTTGTCCTCATTGTATGTTCCCGTACAAAGACGAAATTGGCTCTCTGCATTTAACTCATCCACCACCAGGTGGAGCAGTGGGCAGCTATGTAAGCGCCTGGGGAGCAATTGGGAATAGGTGTCCTGCTCAGAGACACCATGAGATGTGCATGTGATGTCATTAGAACTTCCGTAGTTTGTCACGGTGGAGCGTTTCCCACAGTGAAACACGTCACTCTACTATCAAAGAACCAGGGTTACGTTAATTAACCCAACGTTTTCTCCAAATTTCACGATCAACTAAAAACCAGTCTGTAATCTACCGTTCAGTAGCAATCAATGTAATGGGCACCCCTGCTTTAAAACTTGGAAAATAAATCAAAAGAAAATCTTGCTAGTTTCACAACGTACCACGAAAAGAAAAAAAACATTTGTCGACAACGGACGTGACCTACACCGTGTGATCCAGTACAGGGAACAGGTAGATGTAAGGCTTTTAATTGTGCAGCTTACAGTTTAGATGCAAAAACCTCATTGTTAATTATATCATACTCCTCGTGGTTTGGGATGGGAGTGTGAAGCACTGATGCAGCTTGCTTCCATGAGTTTTAACCCTAACAAATAGCTCAAAATGTTAGGATGTCAAACAGATTGTGTGTTTTGTGTAGTTGCAGGCCCTAGTCAGTGGGAGTCACTGTGCAGCTACCTCAGCCTGCCCTCCAACCTGCTGTTGCTCTACCAGAGCCACCAAACACTCCTGGAGCCTCTCATTCACAGGTAATATATCTGTAAAAACACAAGTAGTGTTCCACTTGTATGTTCCCAGGTCTCCTCCTGGGATGATCGTGTTTTTAGTTCTTCTTCCTCTTCTGTTGTGTGACGTGTTATTCTTTTATTTCCTCACTGACTTCCTAAAACCCCAGTTAGAAATTCCACATTTGGAGATTGTTTGATTTGCAAAACATAAACTATCGCAGCAGGTTCCAATACTTGATATATTTTGACGAGTGTGTGTGTGTTCAGGTGGTGCCGTCATCCAGGTGTGGTGCAGGCGCTGCAGAGGGGCAGAGTCATCGTCACTTTTCCAAGAGAGTCAAATAAACTGATAAACCTGCCAGAAGATTACAGCGTCCTGATCAACCAGGCATCCAGCTTCACGTCAGTACACCCCACCCCCCTCACACACACACACACATATACACACAAGTAAGAAGGGAAGGAAACAAGCTGCCCAACTGTGTGTTACCTGTGCAGGTGTCCGCGCTCGGGTGCAGATAAGTCCCGTGCTCCCACTCTGTGCCTGGTGTGTGGCTCCATGCTCTGCTCCCAGAGCTACTGCTGTCAGACAGAGGTGGATGGAGAGGACGTGGGAGCCTGCACCGCCCACACCTTCAACTGTGGAGCAGGTGTAGGCCTCTTCCTCAGGTGAAACACACCTGCACCTCACTGTGGCCATTTTATTTATTTACATTTTTATAGTTAAAAATCATAAACACATTCATGAAGATTTTTATATGAATTTCATATGACTTGAAATATATGTTTTTGGAGTACATCTAAAAATATATTTTTTAATTGATTTAAACAAATTGTAAAAGTTCACATTCATTAAGTTTAAAAAAAAAATTGTTTACAATAATTTAAATCAATTCAAACGTGGAAGAACTGTGGCCTTTCTGTTGGTCTTTATATGTCCTCCATGTTCATGGTTTGGTTTTCTCCCAGTACAATAACAATTCTGGCAAAATAAAAATATTTTATAAGGATTTCTAGGCTTTGTCAGAAATACTTGTGTTTATCAGCAGCGCCACAAAAAGAATTGAAAAGCACGAACAAAAATAAATGCGTGGTTGATTTTTTTCTCCATCAGACTTTCTTCAGGTTAATGGACCTGACTTTATCTCATCTGTCAGAGCTGTCGCCTCACAGCAAGATGGCCAGAGATTCACTAGATGTCAATATTTATTTGTCTCTACATGTCCCTGTGATGGACTTGTGACCTGTTCAGGGTGTCCCCCGCCTCTCTCACAGTGACTGCTGGAGATGGGCACCAGCTCGAATGGATATTTCGTATTCTGTTAATCATAGTTCTTTGAAAGAAATCTGTATCGGCCCACAAAGTCAGAATTGGTGCATCTTGAATTTAAATTACATCCGTGGACGTTCCCAGGCCAGCTGAAAGACATGCTCTCTCCAGCGTGTCCTGGGTCTTCCAGTCTCCTCCCAGTCGGACATGCCCAGAGCACCTCCCTAGGGAGGTGTCCAGGGAGCATGTCTGAACCATCTCAACTGGCTCCTGTCGATGTGGAGGAGCAGCGGTTCTACTCCACGTCTCTCCTGGATAACTGAACTTCTCACCCCATCTCTGAGGGAGAGTCAGAAGCTCGCTCCCAACCCGGAGAGGTCCATCCTCCCTTTTCTGACTGAATTTAAATGCATTTATAAATTAAAATCAGTTTAGTTTAAGGGGAAAACTGTTTTTTTTTTTTTGTTTTTTTTTTGTCTTTCTTTAATAATAAACGTGTTCAGTTTATAAAGTGTAACTTTAGAAATGGTCCGACAGAAGACAACTCCTTTCAGCAGAGGGTCGCCTCCGTCTGCTTCCTGGTTCATGTTATATGTTCTGTTTTTGATGTTTGAAAAGTCTTTGGTTCTGTCTGACTCTTTGTGTGTACATGTGTATGTGTGTGTGTGTGTGTGTGTCTCTGTGTGTGTGTGTGTGTGTGTGTGTGCAGGGTCAGAGAGAGTCAAGTGTTGTTTGTGGCAGGTAAAACAAAGGGCTGTTTCTATCCTCCACCTTACTTGGACGACTATGGAGAGACGGACCAAGGCCTCAAGTATGTATCCGTTTGTGTTTATGGCTGGTTGTTGCCATGGTAACACAGTTGGTGTATACACTTGCAGAGATGGATTAAAAATGTAGATACAAAAGTGGGACTGTGTTGATGAACTTTTTACTAGCTTTTTAGAAGCACTTTGTTTTTCCCTTGCTGCAAAGCCTCTAATCTGCTCATGTTCATGTCCAGAGGACCAGATGTAACTTTTTTAGATTTTTCTACCTGGATTATTGAGCATGCATCAGGATATGTTCATGTTCTTGTTTTGTGTAAATGTTTATAAAAATGTTAACATATTAAATGTTTTAAAGATTTAACTGACTCTAAACCTATCTTAAACCTTCATGTTGGTTTTGAGAAAAAGTGAAAATTCTGTTTTTACACTGGAGTCAAAACACAAAGTTTACAAGTTGAATTTTTAAGAATAAAGTCAAACTGTTGAGCATATAACGTTAGTGCAGTCACTGGTAAATCTGGGAAGATCTACACCTTTTCTCTGATGTTGCGGGGAAAGCTTCTCCAAACTCTGTGGGCCTTGGACCTTCTGTGCCCTCGGACCCACGAGTCAAATATTAGAGCTGATCAGTTACTGAGTCATCTGGGTTCATGATCATTGCACACCATTAGGACTCACGAGTCAGAGATCGCAGCGTGATCTACTGAAGTGAACCAGATCACTTTAGTGAGTGACTCAGATGAACCTAGGTCTAAACAGTGAAATGAATTTACCAGTTCTATCAAACATTATTCCACCTAGGTCTTCACATTTCTTGCTGAAGTATCTACTCCCAGAGAGCTTTGCCATATTAGCTTGCATGCTAGTTAGCCGATGGTTATGTTTTGTAGCAATGCTCTCAACATCTGACCATTCCATTTTGTCAAACACTTCCCTCTTATCATAATTTAATAACTGCACCATTTGTTTACTAACAGATTTTATTGTTTACAGTTGAGTAAAGTACGACCACCTGTTTGTTTAAAGGCATGAAAACATTCCACGTTTGTATGTGGGGAACCCCCTCCACATGTTTTGTAACCTGTATATTTGTTTGTTTGTTTGTTTGTTTACAGGCGGGGTAACCCTCTCCACCTATGTTTGGAGCGTTACAGGAAGATTGAGCACCTGTGGAAGCAGCATGGTATCGCTGAGGTCATAGGTCATGCCCAGGAGGCCAACCAAACACTCGTTGCTATCGACTGGCAGCACCTGTGATGGTGGACTTGCCCCGTCCACTTTTCTTAAAACTCTTCTTTACACCAATTAGCTTCTTGCAGCCGCATGCTGAGCTCAAATCAGCTTTCAGGGATTTTTTAGGGTGTTTGACTCTTTACCTTTGACATCTTTTTTCAGAGGCAATAAATGCAGCATCATCTGTTTTGAAAGCAAAGCCCCACTTACCTGTCAGATGTATCTGATGCGCTCAAATTCTTCTTTCTGACTGACTGACAGGTCAGGGGTCGTCACAGAGCATCTCCATGGCAATAGCGTTAAAAGGTGTGAAATCAAAAATGACCAGATCTGACCAATCAGCTGTGTATCTCATGGAAGTGGACAGAGCTTCTGGAAAACTTGTCTAATGTATTGATTAGGAAGCATTTGTGGGTTTTAGTTCAGTTTTAATGTTTTAACACGGTGGTTGTGTGCAACATCACTTCCTGTTTGAGTGTGTTTGGGTTCAGAGTTTGAATTTTATTTGAGTATTTTGTTTATTTCATGTTTATTTTGTTTATATGTGAAATCTTCTATAAATCAGTTAATATTGTATAAGAAGCAGAAAACCAATAAAATAAAGATTTAATGTCTCTGGTTTCTCTCTTGATTTCAGTATTCAGCCGTTGCATAAAAACAGCTGGATGTAGGTCTCACTTAAAGCTGATTCCAGATGTTTTCTAAATGTCAAAAAATATCAAAACATTTAAACTAGAACATTATCTGCAAAAATGATGAGGTCTTTAGCTGCTGCCTTATCTCCCATCATCCATCAACTTTGTTCACTGAAGCCTGGCAGAATTTCAGGACTTCTTTTGCAATAAACTAAATAAATATAAATAAACTAAGCTCAGACAGAAGCAGATTCTTATTTTCAAGGGTATTTGTGAGCTTAATTTTAAAACTGCAAATTCAAACCCTTTCCTATTTGTTATCTCCCACTGTGGAGCAAAGAGGAGGAAATTATGTGCATCCATGCATGTTGTAAGCATGGTAATTAAAAAAATAAGCCAGGTACCAATTTCCATTTTGGTGTGGTTGCATCTCGGTGTAAGAAAGGTTCCTTTTGAAAATTGGGCTATGACGTCAAACTCCCACATGTCCACCATCATTTTAACTGGTATATGTAAACCGACCAGTTCTATAATTTAAGGAACATGTACTTTATAGTTTTATTTTGCTTAGAAGTATAGTTTCCTCAAATTAATGGGGTGGTCGAAAGTTAATCTAGAGTGGCTACCCCTTGGCTCTGCCATTGCCCCTGGCCTTGGATAAATTTGCTTCCTCCACTTGACAGGATCCATCTCTTTGCGCTGCCTCCAACAAGCAAAAAAATAAATAAATGCAACTCAATATTTTTTACACAATGTAACTCCTACCCACTTGAATGTCTTGTACTAAAAACATTAAAGTTTGCATTTATTGTTCAGATTCAGTCAAAAAAACAAAAAACATCTCAAAAACGACAAACATTCACTATTAAAATCCCCTCAGCAAGAGGAGACTTTTGTCATTCAACCTTTATTTTTACAGGCTAACCTCACTGAGCCACGGGGACCCATTTACAAGAGGAACCTGTTCCAGACAGAACAACAAAACAGTAGACAATGACACCAATAAACTACAGTTAAAAAAGCAGTTAAAATAAGAGTAGTGTACAAAAAAAACATCAGGTTACCGTAAAACAGGGTGAAATACTAAAAACGAACATATTTGCTTTGATTTTTTTATTGACATTATCAAATGTTTGAAACTCCTAAAATAAATCAAGGAGGACAACTTCAGTTCCTGTTGCAAGGTGTTCCAGGTTGCATTTGTTCATGCTTTGTTTTTTTTTATTCTGAATCCAGGCAGCACGGTGGCTCAGTTGCTACAGCTGTCACCTCTCAGTGATAAGGTCGCCAGAACGAATCCCAGTTGGTGACCTTTCTGGGTGGAGTTTGCATGTTCTCTCCGTGCATGCGTGGGTTTTCTCCAGGTACTCCAGTTTCATCCCACAGATCAAAAACATGCATGTTAGGCTGATTGGTAACTCTAAATTGTCCCTAGGTGTGAGTGAGAGAGTGAATGGTTGTTTGTGTCATTTGTCTCTATGTGTCCCTGTGATGGACTTGCAACCCGTCCAGGGTGTACCTCGCCCCTCACACAGTGAGCAATCAATGTCCAGCAATGGACATGGGCACCGGCGACCCCCGTGACCCAAAATGGAAGAAGCGGGTAAAAGATAATGGATGAATGGATGGACATTCCAGTTTCCTCCGACAGACCAAAAACATGCATGTTAGGCTGACTGGTAACTGTCTCTAGGTGTGAGTGAGAAAGTGAATGGTTGTTTGTCTTGTTTGTCTCTATGTGTCCCTGTGATGGACTTCAGACCTGTCCAGGATGTCCGCCCCCTCTCACGCAGTGACTGCTGGACATGGGCACCAGTGACCCATGTGACCCGAAAAGGAAGAAGCTGAAGGATGGATAAATCCTGAATCCTCCTCAATATCAAAGATCACACAGCAGCCATTTAAGCAGAAACACACCAACACATATGGCATATTATATGCCCATTGACAAATTATTATACAGCTTGGGCATCAATCTAAAACAGTGGCCAGGACAAGCCAAGACCTTGTCTTTGACCTTGATTTGTAATCTTGATCTTAAAGCTGAGGTGATGAAAACATCACCTGTCTGGCACAAATGTGTTTCATTAAAGTATTCTGAGTAGAAGAAAAGTTATGTACGGATGGAGACTATATTATAAAATATTTGTCTTTCAGCAGGTGTACAGTAATAAATAGTAAGCATCAGTCAAACAGTTTGTGTAAAGTTATAAGTCAGATCAAAAAACGTCTTGACCCTTGGGTTGCAGAAGGTTCTGATTTGAGAGAAAACCACCAGTCCTATAGCAGAGACAAACCAGGTGAAAGAAGACAAATGATACCTTTAAATGGAAAAACTAGAAGAAAATGTAAGACCGTTGGAACATGAGTTCAGTAAACTACTTTGAACAAAACACTCAAATAAAAATATGGATTGGAATAATTACTATTCACTACATCCACTCCTGCCTAGTAGACATATAGACCTTAATGGAACCTTTGTGGTTGGACAGTCTGTTGTCATGGGAACAGCATGTCCTGCTGGTTGGTTGGACGTGATGGAGGGAGCGTCTTATCTTCAAACCAATTAGGAATCATTTGGGAGATTATCTGCTTCTAATCAGATCAGAACCAGCTTTAGGAGAACCAGAGGAACTCACCCCCATTTACACCTTCCTCCTTAGAGACGCTTCCAGGATTGGAACAGGTCCATTGGTTTCAGGTGGGTTTCTGCTGGAGCTTCTGCCCCCTGCAGTATGGACACCCTTGACCTGCAGTTCAGCATTGTGGGTCTAAACCCTACTGCTGCTTTCTGGACCGGATTAGAATTCTGAGGTAGTTCTGAAAGTCACCCCTAGAGTCTGTTGGACTTTTTTTTGGTGGGAATTTTCTAAGCCGTCAAAATGCCGTTCCTGGCTGTGAAGTTCAACCTGCAGAAGCGGGTGAAGCTGGCTCAGGGTCTGTGGTTGCTTTACTGGCTCTCTGTCATTGTGGGAATCACAATTTTCAGCCTCGGCATCTTCTTCAAGATTGAGCTGAAGAAGAGGAGCGAGGTCATGGACGACAGTGAGAACCACTTGGTTCCAAACTTATTAATCCTGGTGGGCATTTTGGCCTGTGGCCTGAATGCCTTTGGGGGGAAGATGTGCCACGATTGTCTTGACCCCATGAAGTTCTCCAAAATGAAACCAATGCTGAAGCCCTTCATGCTGATGAGCTGTGGCTTCAACGTTTTGCTGCTGCTCGTGGCACTGCTCTGCTTCCTCATGCAGTTCTCTGTGTACCTGACACTGGCTGAGGGCCTGAGGAATGCCATCCGCTTCTACAAAGACACGGACACGCCAGGACGCTGCTTCATGAAGAGGACGTTGGACATGACACAAATCGAATTCCGCTGCTGTGGAAACAACAACTTCAGGGACTGGTTTGAGGTGCAGTGGATCAGCAACCGGTACCTGGACATGAACAACGATGTGGTCAAAGAGTGAGTATCTAAACACAGCACACAGTAAAATGTTTGTACCTGAATGCAGCATGGCATAAAGAGTCAGTTCCTGATTGCAGCATGCAGTGAGAGGTCAGAAACTGAGGCTATGTTCACAATGTAGGCAAATGTGGCACATCTCTGATTTTTTTGCCCATATATGACTCATGTCAGATCTTTTTCATGACATGATGACGTGACAATTCTGAAATCCAACCCAGGTCTTTTTCATATGAAGTACTGAATTGGATATACTGTATCTCCAATGTTTTTCAAAGCGACCAAAATCTGAACTATCGTCACATTTCATCCAACTTTTACGCCACTGAGGTAGGAATATGAGGATCACTGCAGGTATTAATAATCATGACACCAGTCATCATTGTAGTTTTCCATGCCCTAGATGATAGAGAATCTCCTGCAACACGATACCAACATCAGCATCGGGCTGTTTTGATACTAATGTGATGGGATCGATACTTGAGTTTGTTTCTACATTCAGTATGTTGCTAACATTCCAAAATACAATGCTGCTCTGGAGGAACCGTCAAGAAGCAAGATTAAATATAAACACTTGGCAAAACACGCATATCAGATAATAACTGAAATGGTTCTGATTGTACAACTTCAGAATCGATACACACATGCTAACATGTATAGTGTCCAAGTATTCATATTTACGTCATTAAAAACAGATTTATGTCAGATACACCCTTCCTGATGGAATCGGTACCATGATCTCCATGTGTGGAGCAGAGCATCTATGGTGCCTGAGGAAGGATTGGGAAGGTTTAAGGGCCTTGCTCAAAGGTCCAGAGAGGGACAGATTGGGGTGGAGGTTGGTACTTCATCTTTCCCACCCACAATTTGATGTAATGGTCAGGGGATTCATATCAGCAAACTCCCAATCACAGGCTTGCCTCTTCTAACACTGCACCACAACTCCGCCTTTATTTTCTTCTGTAAACAGTACAGATTTTCTTATGTTGATTTGAGTCACCTCAGAATTGTAAATGGTTCACAGTGGAGCCAGATGGAGGTGAAATTTCATCGATAATGTAACAGACCACTCAAAAAAATTAGATTTGACAGACAAATCTGAATTGAGCATTCAGACCTCAGTGTGAACATAGCCTGAGTGCCTGAAGGTAGCACACAGCAAAAAGTCTGTACTTGAACACAGCATGCTGGAAGTGACAAGCTGGAGAGTACCTGATCACTGTACACAAATGGTGAAAGGTAAGAAAGTGAATACCTGCATGCAACACCCAACAAAAGTTTTTTACCTGAACACAGCATGCAGTAAAAGGACAGAGTGAGTACCTAAACGTAGCACACAGTGACAGATCAATGAATAAATTTGAGTGCAGCAGGCAGAAAAGAGCCAGTACTTGAAAACGTCATGCATTGACAAGTAGCGAGTGAGTACCTCAACACAGCATACAGCAAATACCTAGTACATAATTGTAGCATGCAGTGACAAGTCAAAATTGAGTACCTGAATGCAGCACTAGGTGGCAGGTCATAGTAAATTCCTGAATAGAGTTTGCAGAAAAATATGATCACCTTATACACCACACAGTATCAGGTCAAAGACTGAGTACAGCGGTGGTGGGATGCATCACAAACAATGATGAGTCCAGCTACAGGCAAGAGGTGGGACACCTGGAGAGCTGGTGCAAAGAGAATAACCTTCACATCAATGTGAAGAAGACAAAGGAGATGATTGTGGACTTCAGAAGGAACAAAAACATCTACACCCCCCTGAACATAAGAGGATCTGCGGTGGAAGTGGTCTCCAGCTACAAGTACTTGGGTGTACACATGAATGACAACCTCAGCTGGAGCAACAACACCACCAGCCTGATCAAGAAAGCTCATCAGAGACTCTACTTCCTCAGACGGCTGAGGCGAGCTGGTCTGGGAAGCTCAGTCCTCACCTCCTTCTACAGGTGTGCAGTGGAGAGCATCCTGTGCTCCAGCATCAACGTGTGGCATGGAGGCTGCACAGCTGCAGAAAGAAAAGCTTTGCAGAGAGTGGTGAAGGCTGCACAGAAGTCTGTCGGAATCAGCCTCCCCACCATCACCATACCATACCAATTTATTTATAAAGCACTTTAAACAGTGACAAAGCACACCAAAGTGCTGTACAGGGACAAACAGAACAAGCACATAGCAACAGATTACATAACAGGACACCAAAAACGTAGAAACCAACAAAAACAGTAATGGATAACAACAACAACTGCAACTGCAACATAACAGACATCTACACTTCCAGATGCAGGAAGAGGGCCACCTGCATCATGAAGGACCCCACTCACCCAGCACACACACTTTTTGCCCCACTCCCCTCAGGAAGGAGGTTAAGGAGCATTAAGTGTAGAACCACTAGACTGAGGAACAGCTTCTACCCTGAGGCTGTTAGACTCATGAATCTCTAACTAGAATAATCACTGTGAAAAACCATATCATGTTGCTGCTGATCTGTTTCAGTGTTGATGTGTTCATGCGTGCACATCTGCTCACAGACTCATGTTCATGTTTGTGCTGATGTTCAATGTTTTATGTTATGAGTGCTTAGTGTATATTTAGTTGATGTTTTTCTTAGTTCATATCTTAGATGTTATTACTGTTTTTCTTACACATTTTATTGTTGGATGTAACTGGGACCCTGTGTACATAATTTCGCTCCACCACATGTACCACATGAGGTGCGAATGACAATAAAGAAACTCTGACTCTGACTCTGAGTACCTGAATGCAGCGCACTTGTGGTGACAAGTAGAGGATTGAAAACCTGAACACAGCATGCAGTGGCTGCTAAATGAGTAAGTACCTGAACACAGCACTCAGTAAAAAGTCAAACAGTGATTACCTGAGCACAGCACATTGTTACAGAGTTAAAGAGTATGCACCTAAATGCAGCATGCAATGGCCAGTGAGAAACTGAGTACCTGCACGCAATCTGCAATGACAGGTCAAAGAGTGAGTACCTAAATGCAGCACACAGTGAGAGATTAAACACAGTATCTGACAGACCAAAGAGTGAAGAGAGTAGGCTTCATTGTAATGCGGAAAACAAAAGGATTAACTAGATGACAAATTATTGCTTTTGTAAAATCTGAGATTGTTTTTGTTAAGTGGTTTTAAAATAACGCCCTTACACTTTTATTTTGGTAAGTGGAAGTTGGGAGGTCAATAAGAGTTAAATATGGTGACAACCGCCTAAAGAGAAGTCCGAGTGGGCGTACTTATTATCCACCCGCTCAAGGAGAGCTGTGGAACTCCAACCAACCCTTAGCAGTTTTCCATACGCACCACTTATATTTGCCTAAACTAAGCTCTGTTTTTAGGAAATGGTTTGAGCTGCTGACCAAATCTCCTAATACAAAGATGGCTACATGCCCTGACCACAAACATATCAAGAGATGTTCTGATGGGGTTACCATTCCCCAGGAGATTGAGCAAATAATGATTCTATGCCAAATAATGGTAAGATTTTAATAAAATATGTTCCAGCATGCCAGTCCCACCTCCACCTTGAAGCTATCTGTCACTTTTTCAGGGCACGTCACTACTGTCCTCCTGTACTCATACATGTCCTGTACCTGTCTAACATCATTGCCACTCCAGATTTCCTCATATACTGCCACAGCTCTTCAGCACCCTAACATATGCTTTAACTGAATCTACAAAGACACTGTGAAGTTCTTTCTGATCCTCTCTGTACTTCTCCATCAGCACCTTAAAAGTAAAACAAATATCTGTGGCACTCTTTCTTTGCATGAAAGCATACTGCTGCATACAAAAAAAAATGCAAAAAAAAAAAAAACAGGTCTCTCTTGAAAATGAGTTCTCGTGGCTCAATGAGACTAACCTGGATAAATAAAGGCTAAATGAAAAAATAAAAAATAAAAAAATACTGCTGCATACAAATAGTCACTTCTTATCTAAGTCTAGCTTTCACAATTATCTCCCAGATAATTAAATAAATGGGAATAAGCGTGCAATAGGAGAATTTGAGAAATAAAATAAATATAAACATAATTGGAAGTTTGGAACTATGGATCTTCATGAGTTCCACACTTTAAGGACATAGATAAAGTTGGGCTTCTATGTAATGATTCTGTTTGTTGGAGTAGATTTCTCCTGTGGTTAGTGTTGAGTGGATAAAAAAAAACAAAAAAAAACTTTCAACTCGACAATCAGCTGATGATGAGCACAAACAACACATAATCTTGATGGAAACCCGAAGCCATTCAACCCCCACTTGTAGGTTACAATCTTTCCGACTGATAGTTGCTTTGCTTCTAGTGTGATCTTGTGGTCAAGAAAATTTGATTTTTCTATTTAAAGTTTTTTGTCATTAGGTCTAAGGTGTTTTACCATACCTATTCTTTTGAGGATTTGTGAGTTTAAGGCTCTACTTTGATAAGGATAAGGGTTTTTACCTTCTTAATATTTTGTTTAGCCTATGTTTTGGTCGTCTGAAGCTTCTCTAACTTTTTTGTTTTAGTTAGTGTGGCTTGATCTGGTTTTGGTGAACCCACTTAAAGACAGGTTCTTTCTGACCTTTGCTGATCTTGATATGGCACACAACTGGGGACAGTTTGTCCGTTATCAGATGTGGTCCGTTCCACCTTAGTAAAAGGTTGCGGGCAAGCGTTCTGGTTTGGGAAGCTTTTTGGCCAGTGACTGGGGCAAAGATGTAGTGCCAGACCTTCTCCCCCACTTGAAGTGCTTCATGGGAGACTTTGTGGTCTTAGTAGGCTTTGCATCCTTCAGTCATTTCGTTAAGTCGTTTTTGAGCAAAAGCTGAGGTGGTTTTCAGTTGTTGGTTGTAGAACTTCAGAAAATGTCTGTCTAGATCTGAGGTTCAGGATTCAATCAGGTACAGAGGTGTCCAGAGGAACGGTTGTCAGTGACCACACAACATTATTTATGGTGTCCACCCGAACACCAAGTCAAACTATTATGTCACAGCCCATGTATACCAA